AACCTGTGTAACAGCTGGTTTAGGCCTGACTTCCAGGCATGCTCCCAGCCCATACTCAGGAAAGAGGTGGCACTTGCCTGTTAAAAACACAAAGTCCAGTGATAAGGTCCACATAAAACAGTGTCTAGATCAGAGAAGAGCAGCAAATACACACAAGGGTTTGATCCTGCTCATGCTGGGAGAAGAAATGAATCCCAAAGCAAGAAGCTTTCACAGTAGAGATGGGAAAGATAAGAACATAAACAACACTGCCCTGTGTGTAGTTTGTCATTGCAGCTGTGCCACAACACAAAGTCCAGTGATAAGGTCCACATAAAACAGTGTCTAGATCAGAGAAGAGCAGCAAATACACACAAGGGTTTGATCCTGCTCATGCTGGGAGAAGAAATGAATCCCAAAGCAAGAAGCTTTCACAGTAGAGATGGGAAAGATAAGAACATAAACAACACTGCCCTGTGTGTAGTTTGTCATTGCAGCTGTGCCACAGGACTTAGAATCACAGAACCATCAAGGTGGGACCTCTAAGATAAGATCATCAAGTTCAACCATTAAACTGTCAGTGCTGGAACCCCTAAACCCTACCCCAGATCCTCCAGTGCCAGATCCAGACACCTCTTAAACACTTCCAGGGATGGTGACTCCACCACCTCCCTGGGCAATATTCCAGGGCCCGAACACCCTGACAGGGAAAATGTTTCTCCTAACATCTAATCTGAATCTCAATCTAATCTGAACCACTTCTTACAAATCAGAGAATCACCTCAAAACCAAAACCAGGCAAACCCCAAGGGCTCCCCACGTGCCCTCTCTGCTGTGTGGGTTCAGCCTCTGCATGTGTCCTCTGCAGAGGTGCCTGTGCCACTGTCCATCCCATGGGGCTCAGCACGTTGTCCTGCCTGGCTCTACCCACCTCTCCTCTCAACAGGAGCTGAGAGAAAGCCAGCACTCTCCTGGATGTGGAAGGTCCTCCTGTCAAACTGCAGCGTGGGCTCGTCCTCGGGGTCGGCGATGGCGACGGTGGCGCGGGTGACGTTGCCCAGCAGCGCGTACGCCGGCATGCTGAGCTCCACCACGAAGCTCTCCGTGCGCTCGAACACGTCGTCATCGTTAACCACGATGGTGCAGGCCTTGGTGTCCTCTCGCTCCTCAAACTGCACCTGGAAGGCAGCAAGTGGCTGCTCTCCTTGGGCTGGGGCCTGGAGCTTCCCGTCCTTCCTGCCTTACCCTGGCCTGAGATGCAGCCACCAACCTTCACCAATG